CAGCATGCAATACTTTAATAATGCACAGTCTTGTCTGGTGGTTGGAGAACTATAAGACAATGCAAACTGCTAAATAATATAATTTCAAATCACATGCTGAAAGTTAATCCCTGTTGGAATTCTCAATAGCAGCTTTTCCTTTTCTACTCAGTGACCAACCCTGACATTCAGACCACTGAATAGTGCTGTTAAATAATACTTTGATGTTGTGAAACATTTTTTTTTTCATATAACTGGTTATGGTTATGATGTTACACCAAAATCTTGCATAGGAAGGTTTTCATCATTAACAGCACAGGGGAAAAAAGTCTTAACTCATTCCAGACCTGCAGATTTCTCTATTAAATGCTTGGTGTTTTTACATTAGGTTATTACCAGACATTGAGTGAGACAATCTTTGTTTACTAAGAAAAGAAGGTACTTTAGTTATTACATGATACATGATCTAATCTCTCTTGGTAATTTAAGATTTACAAAAAATAAGGATGTATTTCTCTAACTTGTTGGTCTTTTTGAATACACATGGCAACAGCATTGGTTCATTCCTACCTGCTTGGATTTAGAAGTGGATTTAAGAGTTAATACCCTCACTAATCATGCACTTAATGCAAGATATTTGTTTCTCTAAGTTTTACCTTATTCTGATGGTGATACTGGAAAGTCATTGTTCTTTGTCCAGATATTTTAGGTTGTTTGTTAAAGAAACTCAATGAAACAAGTTATATAGAACATCCTTGAGCTACTAAATTTGATTCTGCTGTATATTATCCAAGGGTATCGCTTATAATATTTGTTTTTGGCATTTTTGAATCAAATGTCTTATGTTCCTATATGCAAAAAATGATGAAAAAAGAAAAGAAAAATGCAGCATTGATTGAATAAGTAAAGCAGTTTACATTAGGGCAATATCTGTGGTTCCCTTTTATTGATTTGTCAGGAACTTATTTTATGTCTGATGTAGAAATGGATACTAGAGGTCTTCCTTGAAGTGTGCTTGAGAGATGGTCGATAATGAATATAGTATATATTTCCACTATTCCTTAAGGTCATTCATTTTGGCTCATGTGCACACAAGTTGCTTTCTATAGATTTAGTACTTTTACTTGTCTTTTGCAGGATTACACATGGATTTGTTTTACATGTGGTTTATTATTTCATTGAAAATGCGCACCACAATTGGAAAAGAAAAAAAAAAGAAATCAGTATGAATGACCAAATAACACCGAAGTCCCTAGAGTGTCAATAATTTTATTGATTAATAACGGCGTTATAACTCGAAGCTGGCCTTTTGTTTGGGTTTGCGGTGCTATAATTTAACTAAACTCTTGGTGTCAGTGTGCACCAACAAAGACAGGAGGTCTCTATTCTTCATCCATTCTTTTCTGCCATTGCGAAGGCTTATTTTGGTGTAGCGTGTCTAGGTTAAGGACGTTACAAAAGGAAAACGCTGGGATTATTTAGAATATAACAATTTCTGTTTTTGATCACTTCCAAGGAATTTTCCAGGAAAGGATTAAACCTTGATCGATCATGGGA